AGCCCCACACCATATAGCAAAAACCTCTCAAAAAAAAAAAAAAAGTGACGGGACCAGCAGTTGGCCTAGTGGCTATGTCGCTGGACTCCCACGTAGTCAACCGCGGTTCGAGTCCCAGACCCAGTGGCTTAACCTCACACCAGGCGCGTGTGTGCATGTCGCTGGACTCCCACGTAGTCAACCGCGGTTCGCGTCCCAGACCTGGTGGCTTAAAACTCATGCCGGGCATGTGTGCATGCATGCCCAAGATCCAGAGAGGAGAATGGAGGAGAAGAGATTGTGGCGTGGCCATTCCCCCCTGGGGGGGGGGTGATTTCTCGCTTTCTGTCTCTCTGTCTCTGTCTGTCTGGTGAGCGCACGTGCCCTATAGCAAAAACCTCTCCAAAAAAAAAAAAAAACATTTAGACGACAACAACAACAACAAAAAGCAATTAATAAGTGTTGGTAAGGCTGTGAGAAGACTGGAAGCCTTTGCTGGTGGGAGCATAAAACGGTGGAAAATAGTTTGGTCATTCCTCAAAAAGTTGTCACATGACCTCCACAATTCCACTCCTAGGTATATGCCCCAAATAACTGAAAACAGATATTCAAACGCACACAAACACACATGTGTTCACAGAAGCAATATTCACAAGTCAAAAGGTAGAAACAGCGCACTCGCCCACCACTGGGTAAACAGACTGTAAGTGCAGTCAAGCTTTGTGCAACAAGGTCACGCTCTGAGAGCTGTGTCGCCCGGCAGTTTTACGACTGTGTGCATCTCAGAGGTCACTCAGACAACATCGATGGTACAGCCCATGACCTAGGCTACGTGGTACAGCTCACTGTATCTTACAGGACCACTGCCACACATGCAATCCATCTCTGACCAACACGTCACTGCACAGTCCCTTACTATACAAAGACGATGAAGTATTATTCCACCATGAAAAGAAATGGAAGGGGGCCAGTCAGGTGGCATGATGGGTAAGGTGGCTGGATCCCACGTGACGCGGCCAACTGTGTGGTTCAAGCCCCAAACCAGGTGGCTTGAAAAACACACCAGGCACATGTGCATGCCCAAAATCCTGAGACAAGTGGAGAAGGGACTGCAACATGCCATCCACCTGGGCGGTGACCTCTCTCTCTCCTTCCATGTCCTTCCAGGAACACAGACACCCTCTGGCAAACTTAAAAACAAAGTAAGAAGAGGGGCTGGCAAGTGGCATAGTGGTTAAGGGCGCTGGACTCCCACATGGTCGACCATGGTTCAAGTCTCGGACCTAGTGGCTTGCTTTCTCACTTCCTCTCTCTCTCTCTCTCTCTCTCTCTGTCTCTCTCTGATCAAACTGGAAAATAACAATGATAATAATAATAAATAAAGTTAAATAAAATAATTATTTTTAAAAAAAGTAAGAAGGAGGAGGAGAAGGAGGGACTTCTACAAAGTTGATGAAGTTCTAAGCTGACTGCATGGAAGAAGACAAATACAGGGTCATGTGTACAATTTCACATGTATGAAACATGACTCCATTTATATGAGACATCAACAGGTGAGTCCACAGGTAGAAAACACAGTACTAGCTGACAGGGCTGGGAGTGATTGGGGACAACTGGTTAGTGTGCCCAGGCTTTTCTGGATGGTGGAAGTGCCGTGGGCGTCAGAACTGGTCACACGCTGCGGAGGACGGATGCTCCACGGAGCCGCTCCCTCGAGGCAGCTACACACACTCCACCTCCACTTAAGAACCAGAGACGAGGGAACCAGCAGTTAGCGTAATGACTATGTCGCTGGACTCCCACATAGTCAACCACGGTTCGCATCCCAAACCCAATGGCTTAAAACTCACGCCGGGCGTGTGTGCTTGCGTGCCCAAGATCCCGAGAGGAGAATGGAGGAGAAGGGCATGCGGTGTGACCATCCCCTCTGGGGGGTGATTTCTCGCTTTCTGTCTCTCTGTCTTTGTCTGTCTGGCGAGCGCACGCGCCCTATAGCAAAAACCTCTCCAAAAAAAAAAAAAAAAAAGAACCAGAGATGAAAGCAGGCCTGGACCAGACTTGGCCTGCTGTGTGCAAAGTGTGACCCAAGGACCTCAGCTGGTCAGAAACACAGAACTCAGGGCTCCCCAAGACCCGCTGGGTAAGAACCTAGATTTAACAAGCCCTCCCCTGCATTACTCATAAGGAGCACGAAGCAGTGAGAGTGGACATGCTCACAAGCACATGTGAGAAAGGGCAACGGAACATGGGCCTGAGGGTGGCCCAGGTGACAGCTGAGAAGGCAGTGGTAGCCAGTCCCAGGCCAAGTCCCACCCCAGCCTGTCAGTCTAGACAGGGGCAGTGGAGCTGCCTGCCAGGAAGCAAGAGAGAAGCCCTGTCCCCTGAAGGGTGACACAGGTAGTAGCCCACCAGACCTACCAGGACACTTCTCTGCAGAAGAGGAAGGAGGGGTAGATGGACAGCTAGGTGGAAAGAGTCTCCCTCAGCTCCTCTTCTGCGGAGGCCCCACCCATGGACTCCACGCCAGTGTGAGACAGGGTGACACATGACTGCCACTTGGGGTGTACCCTCAGAGCAACTGTGTGCTGAGGGAGTGTGACCCTGAGCCACCCAGATCTGAAGATGGGCCCTGTCACTAACCCTGTCTCTGCCTCAGTTTTCTTCTCTAAGCCAGGCTAGCAATCGCCCCTGAGGAGTGTGTTGGGAAGATGAGTTGAGGGAAGCGGCTTCTGGTAAATATGGGATGTCCCTGTCTGTGAGACACCTGGGCAGGAGAGGGCATGGCTGTCGAGGGACAGACATCAGGACAGACTGACACATACATCTCCTTGGTACTGCCCGCTCCCCCAGCCAGGCACAGTGGGCCCAGGGGCAGTAAACCACACAGCAGGGCTCCTAGGAACAGCAGCTCTGTCCACATGACAAAGGGGAGGCAGCTGGGGCCTTCTTACCTCTTGACTTGGGTCACAAACTCGTCCCCTCCCTCAAGCTAGACCAAGGCCACCTGCCAGAGTCCAGCCCTGAGGTGGGAAGGAATTGCCAATAACTGTAATTTAAAATTTTCATTTCATTTAAGAGAAACGGAGGCACAGCAGCCGTAAGCGGCTTCCTCATGGTTAGACGGCCACAGAAGGAGGCCCACACCCCACCAACAAGCATCCTCTGAGGCTAAAGGCTATCTCCAAAATGCTCACCAACTCGGAGCACACCGTACCTATCTGCCTCAGTTCAGGCCTTGCCAGAGCTCCCTCCTGACCCAGGCTGGGATCTACCAAGACCCTGCTGCTCGCCCTATTCCAGCTCCTGCTCGGCACCTGGCCAAGCCTCCCGAGACCCAGTCAGCACAGCCTAGATCCGCCAGGCACAAGGGCTCATGACCAGCCTATGGGGGCAGTAGAGGGGCTGTCCAGGGGAAGCTACAGAGAAAGGGTCCTTCGACATGACCTTGACCTCAATTTTAAGCACAAGGCGGACCAGGGGATCCAAGTAAGATGCTTACCCTAATTCCAGACCCAGCCCTTGCTGCCACCCATCACTTCAAATTAAATAAAAACAGGGGCAAGAAACATTGCTGGCAGGAAGGGGAACTAGGGAGTCTATGTTCAGAGTCACGGGGTGCAAAATTTGGTCCATCCCGGACACGGAGGGAGCCAGGAAGGGAGCTCCTACACAGCCAGGTGGCTGGAGGGAGTGAGCTCTGGCCAGACACCCTTCCCAGGATGGGAGGCCCCAGCCATGCCACACCCCCAAACCCACCAGACACAGTAGGAGCACCTCCCCGAGGCTCAAGGGTGAAGCTGTGCCTATCTCCCGCTTTCCCAGGGCCGAGGCCATGTGTGCACCTCCTCATTTTCCTTCCAGAATTGAGGGTCGTGCAGGCCAGGCTGGCCCTGGGGCTCTGCCCTGACCCTCAGGACAGCTGCGGCCTTGTTGCCAGCCTCATTCTGTGCTCTATGGTTTTCCTTTGTTTTCTTTTGATCTTATCATGCTAAGCATGCCACAGGCCACCAACACTCACTCTTGCTCCAGTCCAGAGTGAGACCCATGGGTCCGCCTGGGACCTAACGAGAAACACAGGCACTGGCTTCAACCCCTTTCTATACCAATACCAGTGCTAGCCCAAGCCCAAGACTGACTCTCACCCTGGCCAAAGCCTTGTCCTCAGAACACAGGCCCTGCCCTCAGCACATTCCTGGGACCCACAGAGGCCACAACAGACCACAGACCACTGCCACATGGAGCAGAGCTGCGGAAGGCCCCGGGCACAGGGTCTTGGTCATGTCACCCTGATGTTTTATCTGCTGAGGCCCCGACCACCCCACAGACCCATATCTGACAGGGCCAGAACTCACCGACATCCGAGTCTTTGTGGGTCTTGATTACCTCTGCAAGCTCAAAGTTCCCTGCGATAATGGCCACCTGGGGGAGGGGTAGAGTCATGGAGGGCGGGGAGGCAGGCTCACCGGCGCTAGCCTGCACCTCCAGCCCTGGGTGCCCCTTCTCCAGCTCCCTGACAGGGGTTCCCAAGACCCGAGCCCTTCCTCCGTTGTCATTGCGCACTGTGGCCTATACGTGGGGTGTGGCCAGCTATGAACAGCAGTTACAGGTGCTGCACGCATACCTTCTAGCTAGCGTGACCACCACCCAATTTGCCAGGACTGAGGGCCTCCCAAACAGGAACCTCACGGTCAAAACCAACAACACTAGCCAACTGGGGCAAATGGCTACCCTGCCAGGACCTGGAGTGCACCTGTGCCCCACCTGCAACCTCCACACACCTCTCCTGTCTCAACCAAGGCCCCACCCTCCCCCCCCTGCACCCTCATTCTCCCTGCCTGCACCCCACACGGGTCACCTGCCAGTCCTGACTAACTTACTTCCAGAGAGCACAGGCCCATCATGCCTCTTTGCTGCTGCCCTCCCTGAACACAGCCTGCTGCAGCCTGGCTGGCCACACAGCCCCAAAGGCCTGCTGAGAACAGCCTCAGCTCCTTCAGTGGCCACAGACCCTCTGGACCTCCCATGACTCTGGGCCATAGAAACCATACCCACCTGCACCCATTACCCACTAGATCTGGCCAGAGGATGGTCCCAAGATGGAACCTGAGCACCACGGGCTGCACCCCTCCAGGCAAACCTCTGTACCCCACCTTCTTGGGTGTCAGGCCACCCCCTCTGGCCCTCACCTTCTCATCTTCCCTCCCCTGCCCTCAAGCCTCCTAATACTCCACTCCCTGGAGAGACACTGCAATGGCCCATCCCCCCACCCCCAACACTCCCTCATGGTCTTTCTGGGAAGAGCCATTCAAAGAGCCTGGGCCACACAGGTGCAGTGGACGCAGCAGCCACGTACCTGGAAGGCCGTCTGACTGTTGTAGTTGCGGACATCCTTGTCGGCTCCACGGAACAGGAGGACACGGGCACAGCTCTCCTGTGGGGAGGTAGGTCAGGGTATATTGGCAAATGCACACAGGGTGTACGCATGAGCACAGGGCATAGCCTCACATGCATGGCCACTGATGTGCTCAGGGTGGACCAGGTGACCAGCAAGCAGGTTTACATGTGCAGGCCTCACCCGGCCCAGAGAGCTCAGAGGTGCCCAATTCACACCTGGCTGTTCAGAACACACATGTGCATACGTCTGCAACATACGTGTGTGCACTGTAACCACATTCACAGACCATACACATGTGGCACAGCACACAGGCTGGGGAGGAGTATACACAGATACCGTATAGTCAGCTGGGCACACACACATACATGTGCAATCACGTCTCATCGTACCCATGACGGCACACATGTCCACACTCCTATGTCCACAAATACATGTACAGGTGCAGTCACATCTCATGGTACTCACAACAGGCACACGTGTCTACTCCACTACGTACACACACACACATGTACATGTGTAGTCACATCTCATCATACTGATGACAGGCACACATGTCCACAACCCATGTGTGTGCACGTATATAGTCATGTCTTATCATGTCCACATCAGGCACACGTGCCCACAGCCCTAAATACACACGTACACAAGGACACAAGCAGCGTCCTTACCGTACATGTGCCTGCATGCATCGTACCTGGTTGTACAGTGCACAGATGTGCAAGGCCGTGTTCCCGGAGGCGTTCCGAGCCCCCATGCTGGCTCCATAGAACAGCAGGTGTTCCAGGTGCTGCACGTGCCCGAAGCGGCAGGCCTGGGGAGGGGGAGGTGCTGCAGCCCAACAGCGGACCCGAGGACACTCAGCCAGGTCCCACCCTCACCGCCTGCCCACCTGGTGGATCTCCTGCCAGCCGTTCTCATCGGCAGTCCCAAGCTGAGCATGGTCGTGGAGAAGCAGCTCACAGCAGAGGGCATCCCCGCCCCCCAGGGCACTGTGGTACAGGGGTGTCAGGCCACGGCTGTCCTTGTAGTCAGGTGAAGCCCCCAGGTCCAGCAGGGTCTGAGGGCAAGGAGCGTCAGTGTCCACACCAGGCCCAGCCTCCAGCCCCGACCAGGCCACAGCCCTGCCCTCGCTGACCGTCAGTGCTGCTGCATTCCGCTGGCGTGTGGCACAGTGCACCGCGGTGAGCCCATCACGAGTGCGGAAGTCCAGGTGCGCACCGCCGTTCCTCAGCACCTTCAGCAGGTCCGTCGCATTGTCCAGCTGAGCTGCGAGGCTCAGAGGGCACTCTGGGTTTGAGCAGGTGAGCGTTAGAGTCCCAGCCACTCACAAACCACCCCCCCCATGCTGCTCACCTCCTGAGTCAGGGTCATGGAAATTGGGGTCCAGCCCCTTGTCCAGCAGGCGGGCCACCTTGTCAGTGCTGTGTAGCCGGACATAGTCCATGAACTTCTTCAGGTTCGCCTGCAATGGCAGCCAATCCCATCAGCCCAACACCGGAGCTGCTATCACCTGACCATCACACACCTTCCTCCAGTCTTACACCAACCAGAGAGTATCCGCCACCCCACCTTCCACCTGACCTGTCACCCCAGCTTATGTCACCTAAGCCCCGAAGCCTACCACAGCCTGGATTCCAGTTTGGCAGGGCCCTCCCCTGCATCCTGATGCCCAGACCTATCACTACTGCCAGCTTGGTCCCTTGTGAAGGTCAGACCATCTTAGCTATGGCCCCAGCAAGTGCCCCCTAGCCTCAGTCACTGCCCTGCTCTGCCTCCCCAGCCCTGGCATTCCAGCCTCCCAACCTGGGGAAGAGGGGGGGGGCCAGCTAAGCCCACTAGGTATGGGTCCTGCAGTGCCTCGAAGTCTTGCCACCCACCCCCTGGGCAGCCGGCTCCTCCAGCCCATCTTCCTCACCAAGTGCACCCTTGGGGGCCCCTCCCTCCTTCCAGAGCCCTCCTCTGACGTGACGGTGCACGTTTACGCATTCCCTGCGTGTACCAGATCACCCAGCAAAGCCTCACCAGCCCTAGTTGGTGCTACAGCTGCTGCTCACACAAGGCAAGGGGCCTGGCCCAAGGCCTGGAGCCTTCTAGAAATACTTAACAGGCATACACAGCAGAGGGCACCACAGAGGCCACTGTCAGAGAGGTGACCTTCTCAGGTAGGTCAGGGCAACTGACAGAAAGGAGGGGCTTACAGCAAGGGAACAGATCCCAGCTGGGCCCAGGACCCAGAGAGACCAGGGCTGGCCAGACCCCAGGCAGCAGAGACCATAGCTGTGAGGAAGAGTTTAGACCCTCCTAAAAACAAGTAAGATGCCCACAGGCTCTGAGGAGAATGAGGCTGCCCACAGAGGGCCAAGGCACCCACCCTGCCCCTCTGACATCCAGAGGAGGCAGTGAGCTGCCCCTCAAACGGCACATAGGGCCAGCCTGCCTGGGGCCACCCAGCAGTCACCTCGCAAGCTGCCTTGGCACGGGCCTGCAACCAGATGAGTCTGGGCCCTGCCTCAGCCTCCCTAGCTGCAGCTGTGAACGATTTAACTTCTCTGGAACTCAGTTTCCTGATCTGTGAAACGGGGTCAGGACAGGGCAGAATCGATGAGATGCCTGATTTCGAGCACCCAGCACTAGGGGTCCACTAAGTACTTTCTTCCCCAAGAACCACCGCACCAGACGTGTGTCCACATCTCCCACCCAGCATCTCACAGCACACACCACCCCCTAAGCCCAGGGCTCACTAAAGGGGTTGGCTAAAGTCTGACCTCACTGGAACCCATTGCCAGACCACCCAGGTACCTGCCACAGGGCTGGAATCACTCAGTCCTCCATTTGCCCCAACACCCACTCTGGGCTATAGACAATACGGGAAGCAGACTGAGCCCAGAGTTGGAGGGGCTGCAGTCAGCCCCAGGCTGGGGTAGGGATGGTGGCCGTGGGGAGGCAGGAGGTAACCTGCGGAGCCCCTCCCTATCATCCCCTTACCTTTGTGTGGAGCTTTGCAAACTGCTTGTCGTCAATGAGGTTCTGGGCATAAACACGCCGCTTGTATCGAAACTGCTCAGATAAAGAAATAGTGGAGACGGCCCACCGGGCTGAGTGAGTGTGGGTGCAAACCAGCCTCCTACCCAGCCTCTCCACCCCACTGCACTCAGCTCCCCTCCTGCATAGGCCTTTAGGCAGCGCAGGCCGTGCACCCCAGCCTACACACCATGCTCAGAACGGGTGACAGCATGGACATGGACTGCCTCACGGGCTGCAGCCTGCGATGCCTCAACTCACGCCCATGCCAGGACTCCCTGGAAACCCGCTCCTCTTCCAAACCTGATTCTAGGCTGACCCCTCCAAGATCCACTCCCTCTCCAAGTAGGACTGGCACCACCTCCCTATGCAAGCACGGAGGCCATGCCAGCATGGAGCTCATACTGCAGCTCTTACACCCGTGCCCATGACAGTGGCTACTATCCCTCCCTATCTAGGGGACCCGCTGTCTGGACAACCCAGTCTGTCCCCCCCTCAATACACTTCCATGGTGTGAGCAGGTAAGCAAAGGCAGGTCCAGGTCAGCCTTCAGAAGGCTTCACAGCAAGGGAACAACACGCACACACACCCTTCCTCCTCACACCTCCTGGTCACACCCTGCCCTGCAGGACGACGCTCCGCTCGATCCGTGCTCACACCACCCAGAGAGCTCGCTGCACTCGCTGTTAAACTGCTCGGACTGTAACCGCTGCACTGCCTGCAATGTGTACACCCCACTCGCCACACACGCTGCTCACACCACACATGTAAGCACGCTCACTGCCCAGCGCTCACACCGCTCCCTGCACGCGTGGTACACTGCGCCTCCAGAGTGCGTGAACGCAGCACGCATCGCTCCCTGCACGCTGGGGGCGCACAGTGCTCCCCGCACAGCTCTCACACCACGCCGCTGCACGTGGGCCCCTCTGCCCCCAACCCTCACGCTCCTCCGAGCTTTCTCCTCACTGCTGTGCCCTTCCGTGGTCACGCCACGCAGCGAGGAGCTCGGATTTCGGTAGTCGCACCCTGCGCCCCGCGTCCCGCCCCCGGCCAGCCGCACACCTCCAGGTAGGGCAGGGGCGTGTCCAGGTTGGGCGGGTACTCCTGCAGGAGTCGCTCCTCATCCAGAAACTTGCCAGCGCGGCCCCGGGAGGGCGGCTGGAAAAGCCCGTAGTTGAGCGCGTCCTGCAGGCTGTGGTTGAGGGCGCAGAGCACGCGCTGCTTGGCGGCCCACACGGGCGCAGCCGGGTCCAGGCGCAGGCACTTCTGCGGTGGAGCGAGCTCGTGAGAGCCGAGCGGCCCCGCCCGGGCCCGGGCAGGGGGCCGAGCCCCGGGGCCCCAGCGGACTCCGGGGCTCGTAAGCCGGCGCCGCAGACCCCGCGCCTCCGCGAACTGCCGACGCGGCCCCGCCCT